TAAATATGTTTAATTTTATTATAACATTGATTAGAGAGTATTCTTGTTAACGTATAATAATTAGTTTGGATAGAGGATAAATTAACAAAATAAATGATTTAATTTATTATTATTTTTTCATATAAAACAAATATCGTTGAATTATGTGTTTGGCCAAATATTTTTTCACCGATTGAAATTAAGATAAATTATTTTTATTAAAACAGATTAACCCGATTTTTTAACTATATGCAATATCCGATTATTTATATTTGTTTTAAATTTTATAATTGACACAATGTTAATTTGATTTAAAATAAAAATAATACATATTATTTTGGTAATATAATTAATGATGTGATGTATTATTATGTTAATATAAATAATGAAGATGTTAAACTGAGTAAAAAATGAAATGACAATGAATGTAGTAAGTTGTTGAAAGAAAGTTAAGTTCCATTTTGTACTTCAATTTTATAATATAATTTTTCTGGTATCATTAATCTATATATTAAGACATTTGGCAATAACATGTAAAATTTAATTCCATAAATTATTAGCATAATACAATTAAAGTTTTTATAAAATTTATTCTATTCACATAAATAATAATCTACAATAATATTTAACACTGATAGTATGAAATATACATATAATATAAATGAAATATATGGATGTACTTCATTTATATATATATATATATGATATGTCAAAATTCAGAACTATATTATAAAGAATAGAAATTATGTTTTTCTAATCAACTAAATATATATTTATCTCAAACTTTATAATAATCTATTGTACTAAACACAATTAATCATATAATAAATTAACCTACTTATTAATGAAAGAAGAACACTAACTATACCCGTTAATGAAATTACTAAAATGACATTAATGAAAGAAGAATGCTACTATGCATATTTCCAAATAGCACTATACTCTTTTTTATATAGTTATCCATGTTTCTAAACAATTTTTATTTGTACTTCAATTTTAATAATATAGATGATCTAATGTTGTAAAACGGAGCTAACACAATATATATACATTTTTTTTTCAAAAATTCTAATTCTTGACATTATCCCTGATTTCCGGTTCTCAAATTTTACCACAATTAATATTCAGCTTCCTCCTATCTATTAGTTATTTAATTCAAAAAGAGTTCTCAAGAAATATGAAAGATTTTTTTGGGGGCAGACTCTCTAGATGTGTGTCAACGGGAGAGAAACTCACTTATAGACACTTGAGTACCAATAGGAGCAGTCCAAGATGTGCTGGCCCTGTTGAATCGTTTAATTTTCTTTTCAAATGTCTCCATCCTTACAGGTTTGGGATCCCGGACTATATGTCTATTATGGATTACTTTCCGAGTATATTTATATACCACAATTCAAAAATTTCTCATTGATCATTTGGTACATTTAAAAGGTAAAGAATAACAAAAACAATTATGGGAAAGACACTTCTCTAGTTAAACTCTGCAACTTCTTTTCTTAAAGTGGAATACTAAGGAAATTGCAAATCTTAAGAGGATCTCGGTGATCCTCCAAGTCAACTTATTGAGGCAGCCCTTCCTTAGATACCTCAAATCTTGACTTGTCAATTCGATGCCTCATCATGGATTGATAATGGCCTGGTTGGTTTCTTAAGTTGGAGTCTTAAGGATCGAGTGGGTGCTCAATCATTTGGTGTCCGTGGAAGCAACAGAAGCCTCTCGGCCCAACATAATAAGATGGAAGGATTTCTCTAGTCAGTGTCGTGTATGAGAGATATGCAAAGTCCCACATTGGTTTCGTAAAAGATGTGTATTGAGATGTCTCTTAAGAGGCTTGGGATACCAAGATTTAGAAGAGCTTAATCAACCTATTTTGGCCAAGTGTGGCGATACCTGACGTTATCAGATAGTTTGTGTGCATGAGTTGTTAAACGTATCCTAACAACTCGTTTTTGGAGGCCGAATTGGGATCTCAGACATTGTATGTGTGGCGTATTAATTTTTTTGTACTAAATTTTCGTATTAAAGGACTGATAATCTCTATTTGTTCAGGTGAAAGAATTAATGTATGGATGGACCGGTGGTTATTTGATGAAATTTCTCGCATGCATGCGGAAGCCTACTATTTCAATCTCGACCCCTGAGTAAGTGATCTCATGAGCTTACTCAGTGCAATCAGGCTATAGGATAGCTTAAATATTGACGAGTCAGAGATTAGGAAGGAGGCAGTGGTATAAGCTTCTTTGAATTCTCTTTGGGATAAGGTGTGGAAGAAGAGAACTTTTCTGAAAATTTGTATATTTATGTGGAAGTCTTTGTCTCATATGCTTTTCCGGTGAATGATGGATATCAAGAGGTGTTAAAGTTGATGGTAGATATAGAAAATGTGGGAGAAATGGTGAATCAGTTAACCATGATATGTTTGTATGTGTGGTGGCAAGGCTGGTTTGGGCACAATCAAGTTTCCGTTTCGCTCATGATGGTATTGAGAATAAAACTTTATTTGAAATTTCAGTTATTTATTTGAAGGCTTTGAGCAAGCTGAAGTTTCAGTAAAGCTGTTTCAACTATTTTTATGGATCTTGTGGATGTTGTGGAGAATAGAAGTCCTTTCTATTTGAAGTGAGTGATCTCAGCTTTGTAACCTGTTGGGAATTGTGGTCTGTACTCAAATCAATGGTTTGATGCCCATGAAAGTACTTCGATTGATCAAGGAGGTACACAACATGGTTTGAGATTTAATCAACTTTGGGAGGCACAATGTACGGGTGAACTAAAATTTAGTATTGGTGCATCTTGGTCAAAGAAGAAGATCATTGTAGGAACTGCGTTGGTGGTTTGGGATGCCACCGGGGAGGTTATGTTGCATAACCGGAGATCTTTTAGTCGTGCTGATAATTTATCTGAAGAAAAGATTTTGTCACATGTGTGGGTTATAGAATCTACGTATAGCCATCATCCAGATAATTTGGTCTTTTCTTCAGAGGCATCAGAATTATTTGGAACAGTTCTTTAGCTGGCTGCTTGGCCTGAATTTCAAGCCCAAGCAGAGGGGATTTGTGGGTGTTTAATGGATTTCGAGAACTGAAAAATGGAGGTGGCTCCAAGGCAGGTTATAGGTGTACCTTTTTTATTGCAACGAGTGTTTTGAATGCGTTGCGGCTAAAATTCTATGTGGCAGGTGGACCACCAAGATGGATGAAAGACTTGATTACGGATGAAAGACCTCACTTTCACGCATGATATATAGTTTTTTGAGAGTTGGCATCTGGGGGTAATAGTAGTTTAGTGAGGACTTTGTTTTTGTCTGGCATTGTATAATCTATGTGTTTCTGGCAATGTTTTGAAAATCGGATTAAACACCAACTCGGTATAGCTACAAGTTGACTGGTTGGACTGGTTGAACCAGGTTTTTCGACCGATTTTATGTTTTAAAATTAAATATATATAATCATATATTTACATTATATAGCCTTAAAAGTAATTATATTTATAATATATTCTATTTCCTTTACATTAACTAGAAAAATGAACAATAAGCATAAATCTAACTATATATACAGTAAATAATTGAATACTATGTAAAATTGAAATTGATAAAAACCAAACTATTGACTGTTCAGATTACCGTATTTATTTACTTATATTTAAAGTCTCAGATTTTATGAATATGTTAAAATAAAAATAATATATGAAAGCCAAAAATATATTTCTTTACATTGTTTTCCTAAGAAAAATAGATTAAATAGAAAATCAATTAATTAGTACTCCCCCAGTTTCAATTTAGTTGTCGTTGTAGAATATAAATTTTGTTTCAAAATAAGTGTCGTTTTCTAATTTTAATGTAAAATTTATTAACTTTATCTACTATTCTATTTTTCTATTGGTTGAACTGTGATTAGGTGTATAGATAATTATGTTTTTTTATAGAAAATATGTAAAATTAAATATTTTTTTAATATGTGTGTAAAAATCCAAAACGACAACTAAACTGAAACAGAGAGAGTAATAATCAAACATTGATTATGAAATATTAACTTTTACTGACAATTGAAAACATATTAATTATATATTAATTTTAGAACCAGATTTTAAAGTTGATTTGGGTCTTGATTATACCAGATTTTTGGCGGGTTACTGATTTTTCTTAAATCTGAGTTTTAAACCGAATTGGACTCGGATTTTTCATCGAATCACAGTCAAACCGGTTTTCAAAACAAGGGTTTCTGGTGATATTCCCTTATGTGTAGGGGTATAACGATGTAGCTTTTTGTCTTTTGGTCTGTTTTTTTATTTTCACAGAGCAATAATAATTATTCTTTCATTAAGAAATAATATGCCTAAAACATTATTTTAAATATAATATAATTGTGTTTTATAAAAAATGATGATATAGACACCTTGAATCTAGAGAATACTCCCTAATTAGATATATAAATTTCTGACAATCAAACTGAACAACCAAATTATGCTAGTTGTGATCAGTTGCAAACTTACAAAGTCTTTTATATCAATACAATTAGAAAATGATTCTTTTTTAGATTTACTGTTAAATCATTTCTAAACTTTTAGTATATAAAGTTTATGGGCTATCTATTTATAATAGCTAATTTATTTTGAGTTGGAATAAAAGTTTACGATTCCTAAAAAACAAATACAACTTACAGAGTGTTCAAGTCTGTCTTATTCCAGATGTAAGAAGGGATAGAACCAGACAAACTCACATTCCTCAAGATCCTAAAATAAAAATATTAGTTTGAAAAAAATAAATAAATAAAATATAGCCTCGATAAATATAAAAAAATCAACGGAAGATACGCACAGGATTTTGATGGCGTTGCCCGATATATATGGAAAGGAGTTTATCCCGGTCGTATCACTAATACTCCTGTGCATAAATATAACAACTAAAAACCATCAGTCCCATTTCAACAGTCTTTTTTACTCATCTACTAATGGTAGTTAGTTACAGTTCAGTGAGATTTTCTAGGCGGGCCACTTCATCAGGAATAGGTCCTTTCAGTCCACTAGCATATAGATGTCTGTAGATCATAACCAACACACGTTAGTAGATGGTAAGAAAACAATAGATTCAATTAGTGATGGAGGACATGATCAACGTTACAGATTTCGAAGCCGAGACCAGTTGCCTATAAATTCTGGGATGACTCCGGTAAAATCATTATCACATACCCTACTGCATGCAACAATGAGAAAAGACAAAATAGTTCAGATCTTTTTATAATTTTATCTTCTTGAATTTCTTAGTAGGTTCTTCAGACTATCTTCAAAAAATTGTCTGGGAGAGCATCTCATTTTTAGAAGTAACTAGATTTTGATTCGCGATTTTCAAGCGCGGAAATTTTTTATGATTAAAAATTTATATAATTGGGTTTTGTCTTAATTTAAATAAAGTTTTGGAAGAAAATCAGTTCACCAAAATTTGTGGTGATGATTTTTTTCCATTAGTTTCTAGTTTCAGTTTTTATTTCAGATTTTGGTTTTTGGTTTTTGGTTTTTGGTTTTTGGTTTTTAGTTTTTAAGTTTCTACTTTTGATTTTCAGCTTTTGGTTTGGGTTTTTAATTTTTAGACCCGCTGAGTTAGTTTGAACTGATATTACCAATAAACAAATCCCAAATATTCGAATATTTAATTTAAAACTGAAAATATGACAAAATTTTTTATTAAAAATAATCTGCAATAGTTTATTTTGTAAATAAACAAAAGAAAAAAATATAACATGCGTTTTCAGCTTGGTTTTGGATTTTAGTTTTTAGATTTTGTTTTTTTTTTAAATCAGTAAATTATTTAAGAAAAATTAAAAAAAAATTATTTAAAAGTTACCATTGAAATTTATCAAAACAAAGTGATTGTTATTTAAAATAAAAATACATTAACATGTTTTAAAGTACATGATTTAAATAAATGATTAATAATAGACAATTTTGTTTTGTTAAAAATATTAAATACCTTTTGGGCCTGAAAATAATAATTGATTTTTTTATCTATTAAGGTGGAAAGTTTATTCAATGTTTTTTGAAGTTTTTCTTTAATGCTAAGCCCAAAAACCAAATTGTATAATTTTTCATAAAAAAAAATGTAAGCCCAAAACTCTATTGCATAAATAACCGCCAGTTTAATTTAAGTATTGTGGTTCAATCAATTATATGACTTGCATTATTTGTAACACTCTAGAAAGGGTTCAAATTTAAATGACAACTTGTATCAGTAGATAAAAAGAATGACTCTATTTTAATTGAGTAGATTAATCTTTGTTAGACCGCCATTAATTACGATACAATTATAGTTTTATGTAACTATTCTTATCTATTAATAGAAAACTGAGTATAATTTGTAAAGGTGAGATGAAAATATCTTTAACATTTATAATAAATTAAGTAAAACTTAAATATATTTTAAAACAAACTTCAAGTAAAATATTTTGACAAAAAGCTCAAAATTTTAAAATAAATTTATTTCGAAGTAGGAAAACTGAAACATATAGTCTATATAAAACCATTTTCAATGTGTTTATATATTTTTCTTCAATAAGGAGATGCTTTTCTATTTTTTTCCTCTTAAAATAAATATTCTTATACGATTCTATTATAATTTTACGGCTGATACCTTTTACTTATGAAAGTTTAAATAAATCCTATTTACTTTTAAATTTTGAAATTTTGTATTGAATTATGATACTGTTTAAACTAAATTTTATTTTAAAATTATTATGTAAATAAAAGTATGACTATTTCTATAAAATTATATTTCCTCTAAAAATTATTTATTTTAGTCATAATTATAAAATTAAAAGTTAAATGATTATTTTGAAAAAATCTATCACAGAGGAAACAATATCAATCACTATTTTAGATGTATAAATAAAGATGAGTTGGAATATAACTTTTATATTATAACATTTAGAGGTGGGGATAACAATGAATTGAAGAAGTTCTAGTTTTTTTTTTTTAAATATCAACTGCATACACATATAGAATACCATAACAAATTGTTATCAATTATACAATTCAAAACATTTCAGTCCAATATATATCGTTGATACGTACTTATAACTAGATTTTGATCCGCACATCCGTGTAGTATTTGTTTTATTTTTTAATAAACATACCGTAATATATTTATTGTATTGAATTATTATTTGTATTGAATATTATTTTTCTTTTTATTAAACACTAATTATATACATTATTGAATGTTGTTTTGTATCTTCAGACTTGTATCACATATAAAATTACTAGTAGTGCAATAAATAGTAATTAATTGAATTTTTATTTATTTTATGTCAATTTTATGTTGTTAATGTACATAAATATTAAAAATTGAAAATAGCACTTATATAAATGGGCTACCTATTTTGGATAGAAAATTTTGATATGTTTTACTATTTACGAAATGGTAAAAATGATTTTATATTGGTTTTATATTATATTATTTCTATTAATTTATATATACACAATCAATTATGGATAAAATTAATTAATTATTTACTTTAAAAAGAATTTCTTAAAATATATTTTCATTTAAACAATCACTAATGTCGACCATAAATAAAATTAATTGATTGTTGATATACCATGGGTTTTACCCATTATTAGCCATGGTACATAATTGTTTTAAGATATATTTATTATGTTTTTGAGTCTTTTTAGAGTATTTAAAGGTTCAGGTATGTTCTAGAGAAATACGGTGATTTTGGTGTCTTTGGGTGCCCTTTATAGTGTAGTACTGCACAGACGCATCAGATGTTTAGCTACGGATGGAGACTTTCCAACCGTTATATTTTCCAATCTTTTGACACAAGATAGATATTTCCAATGCCATCGGTTTGAGGTCAATCAGCATCCTGTAGCAGACGTTATGCATGTTTTACTGAAGCGTTCAGTCTGCCTCGCGAAAGGAAGCTGTCGAGAAGATAAAGAAGAATTGATCGATTCAACACCACTTGTGTCGATCGATGGAGATCCCAGAACGCGGGCCGAGTATATTTCAAAACCGACTTTAGCCCATGAGTTATCGCAAATTACCATAATACCCTTGGACGACCAGAAACCCTATTTATCTGTTTTGTAAGCCATTGTTGACGGCTAAGCTTTCTATTGTTCTTGTTCTAAGTTTTGGGAGAGAAGGGATGAACTCCATAACCTCCTGAAACTCCTTTGATTATTTGTTTGGTTTTTATATTTTATATCTATTCTATTATGCATCTATTATTTCTATAATTTCTGTGACAAACTTCATGCTAGAGTAGATCCACCTGTTAGGTTTAGGGTTCAAATAGGTTAGAAGGATTAGGTCCAACTATAGGATTGTTAGTTGTGATACTCATTAATAGGATGTTCTTATTGCTCATGGTTCTAGAGTAGCTAACTAAAAACATTGAATCTCGGATTATTTTGGTTGGATTAGAGACATTTAAGCAACTCTGATAGTTCTAAACACATCCATATTAAGTTAAGATTTATTAAAAATATAATTGACAAGATTTGATTTAGAAATCTTTAGTGAGCTTATGTTAACTCGTGTGTATTGCTTGACCAGACTCATCGATCGATCTTCCTAACAAAAAGCGATCGATGATGAGTTTAATGCATCGGTTGATGTTCCTATCGAATAACCGATCGACACTGTCAAGTGCGACCATCCGGTCACTAGACTTATTTATCTGAACGATAGTTTAGATAATTTTTTAATCAAGATAGTTAATGCTCTATAGTATCATGCAAACAACTGAATAGCTCATATAGGATTATAATCTCAATACCTGAATAGAAACCCTAGATCTAGCAACTATTCTTCCATCAAACAACTTCCTGCCAAGTTGAACAATTTATTTGTTCATCTTCTTTACTATTTTATTCTTTCTTGCATTTTTTATTGCTTTATTATTTATTTATTATTTTATTATTTATTTACCTAGATTATTCATAACTGCTATATTTAATTGGTTCTCTAGCTCCTCATGATTCGATCCCTAAGTACTACAACTGAACCTTATATTTGAGAGAGTATTTCACTCTTTAGAGTAATTTGAGTGATATCAATTGTATTTTTTAAAAATATTTTGTTAAAAATAATTAATACTAAATAGTTAATTTCTAGTGGCATTAAGTATAGTTAAAGATTTTTTTTACATCATAATCATTAAAGGTTTTATATTGGTATTTCAACTTTAATAAGATACTAGAATTTAACCCGCACGTCCGTGCAGATATTTTTATTTTATAAATCTATAATTTTAATAATATTTTAAACATTGGCAGTATAGGATATACATTTATGAGTTATAAATTATGTACCTCTTTAATCTTATTTTTAGGTTTCTTACTACAATATATATTGATTTTATTCATACATTTTAATTTTCATTAAATTTTACTACGCTTCAAGTTCAGTATAATAAATTAATAATCAGATATAATGAGATAGAGAATCTTCTTAAAAATATGTGTTTGAAAATATATAGTTGTAAATGTAAAATTTGAATATATGTTAATAATTTTACTTTTTAATAAAAATATTACATAGTTTACAAATTTTAACATGTTTTAACAATGAATGATAATTTATTTAAATGAAAGAATTAAAAAAGATAAAATACATTAATTTCTAAAAAAGTCTTATTTACTTCATATAATATTTCTATTTTATTGTAAAATATACTATAATTATAAATTTGATTAAAAATACCTTCGAAATTTTATTTTTTGTATAATAATGTTTAACTAACATCAGTTTATAATAATATATTACTAATTACGAAATTAAGTAAACTATTATTTTATAAAAATATTTAAAAATTTAGTAGGATTTTTAGATTTTTCTCAACATATTTTAGATTTTTTTATAGTTAATAAAAATTTCTAATTAAATTGATTTATTATTAATATATTTATTGTTTATTAAGATTCTCTAGAAAAGTTATATAGTTGATTTAATAATATAAATATATTATATTATGTAGTTAATTAAATGGTTCTACAATGACTTGTCAATAGTAGATAAAAATAAGATTTTAAATTAATAGATAAGATAGATTGGTTCATGAAAGGACAGCAGCTTCAAACTTTTGGGAAAATGTAACCTTGTAACACGTTCAAATAAGCGAGAGCATTACCAGTTAAAGAGGGAAAAAGGCTTTTGAAAAACTCAGACTTAAAAAATCTGATTCAAATAAGAGTAGCATCAACGTACACGTCTTCAAGGTTGACCAGTCTAGCGAGAGTGCTGGGAAGGTTTCCTGTAAAATTATTGGACGCAAGATGCCTGCAAAACCCATATTTCTTTCCTTGAAACCAAATATTCTTGTGTTTTTGAAAAAACTCTTAGACGCAAATTAAAGGGTCTTACAATGTGGTTAGGCTGGTCACATTACCGAGCTCATCAGGAATGGTGCCGGAGAACTGGTTTGCTTCAACAGATCTGAAAATTTTGATAGCATTAAGTGTAGCTAAAACTAAATAGAACACATTGAGACGTACAAGTATGTCAGATTCTTGAAGTTTTGCAACCCAGGTGGTAAATTCCCAGTCAAACGATTGGCGCAGACCGAGCTGGAATTAAAAGAAAAGGACGAAGTTATTATAAAGAACAAGTGTATGAGCTGCAAATGAGAGAACTAACATGGAAGTGAGGTACTGCAATGAAGCCCACTCCATTGGAATTGTACCCGTGAGGTAATTTAGGCACAGGTCGCTGCAAAGAAGGTAATATATAATTGCTTACTTGTTGTCCCTGGATATTATCTCCCCTCGCATATTTTTGTTAAAAGCTTAAAACATTATCACCTCTGAAGCTCAAGGTCGAAGTAGTTTCCAAGATTGAGTTTGGAAGAATTCAAATGAACACAGAAGTTAAATATTTAAATTATTGTTATAAAGCTATTACTCCCTCCGTTTCATTTTAGTTGTCATTCTAGATTTTTAAACACAGATTAAGGAAATATTTAATTTTACATATTTTCAAGATAAAAACACAATTACCCATACACCTAACCACTTTTCAACCAATAGAAAAATAGAATATCATATAAACCTAATAAATTTTGCCTCGAAACTTTAAAACGATACTTATTGTGAAACGAATTTTAATTTTTTTCTCCAGAATGACATCTTATTTGAAACGGAGGGAGTATGAGAATTGAAAGAACAATAACCAAATGACAGCATAAAAATAAGAATTTGGGTTTTCATATTTTTCACTGAATTTTCTGTGAAATAACTGTGTCATGAAATCTACAAAACACGAGTAGCACAAACATTTTAATGGAACTAAGAAATAAATATAATCGATTAATTCTAAAATTCAAAGTATCTTGAAAAATAATTACTACTATTTGATTTATTAACACATTACGTTTTCTTTATAGAAAATCATTTTAACATACATAATGTATAGCACTATAAATCATACACTATTCAAATTCGAATTAAGTTCAGTATTTGACAACCACCCTCTTCCTCTGAACTCAAAGCTTCAGACAGCAGGGGAGTTCAAATTTATACAAAATTGGGTTTAGTTGGTTTCATTGTTTGATATAAAACAATTAAAAATAAAGGTTCAAAAAAAGTTTTCAAAGCCCAAAAAAAATTGCCAAAACTTTAAAGCAGAAACAAAAAATTTATTTGGGTGAGTTCTTAATGTATTTTCTTGGTTTGGGTATTTGAATTAGTTTCGAGATTCAAAATAAAATCTAGCCTTATATGATTTTAACAAATCCTTAAGCATAAACTTTGTTACTTGCATTTGAGAGTTTACTTTAAAGTCGTTGACCAAAAAAAAAGTTTACTTTAGTGTCAAACAAATCTAATCGTGAATTTGATAATGTTCAATAATCCATGATCCAGTAAACCAACTTACATCTTTTGGAGATATCGAAGCTTGGCTAACTGTGGTGGAAGCTTCCCTGGAAGACTAAGGGTCTTGAGTTCTCTGTATTTGTCAAATTATAATGATTTTATTAAAATTGAGAAAAAAATAGTGAGCTCTAAAGTATAAAAGAGATAGGATAACACTCACATGACTTTAATATGACAAGTCATGTTGTTGTTAAAGCTACAGTCACAGACAATCTTATTATTTTTAGCGGATTTCGGATAAACATCATGTTCTTCTTGAATAATCATTAGAGTTTCTACGTTGCAAGGATCTCCAGCACTTAAGTTCAGTCTCTTGATACCAAGTGTACTAGCTATCTCCTTTAGCGCGTTCACTGCAATAACACAAAAAAACATTGTTTATATATAAAAATATACAGATTCTGGCTGGCGATTTTTCTCATACATTCATCTGGATGAAGAGCTGATGAAGGGGCAGATGTTGATAGAGTTGTGAGGAAGCATGTTATCATGAAGAAGAAGAGGAGATAACTCGAGAAGATGATCAACATGTCGTTGATTATTTGAGTGTGTTTTTGCAAGCTATTAATCACAATGTTCTCATTAGCAGGCGGTTGTATAGTTACTTATATAATATACAGAAGACTGTTATTGATATTTTTGTAAAGGTTTTCTTGGGTTTACTAGAGAGAGTAGAGACGTACATTGACCAAGTAAATGTTAACGTCAGTAGTTGCAGTCCTGAATAGAGAGGTCATGAATGCTTGATGTTTCATGTCTCCTTGTGTGTGTTTGATTAATCTTAGATTCTCAATCAACGCTGCGGAGGAAGTTAGACTATTCTTCCATTGGAGTGTATGCATTTAACTGTACTGTATGCATTTGTTATGTAGCACATTCTTTATTATTATTATTAGAGGCATAGTCTCCGCGGAACCAGAACCGGATACATTGTTGGTACGTTGTATAGTTTTGTGTACATTATGTTATCGTTAGTTTTTAAAAAAATTTATTTGTTTTCCAATGTTATCTATCATGTGATAAATGAAACATTGGAAATCACACAACTTGATTTGGTTGATATAAGAATGACCGGTAAGTTCTTATGTATTGTTATTTCATATATTTTCTTCGTAATGATTAGATCAGTCATTAGCTTTATTAACGTTTTCTTGTTCAAGAGTTGTGGTTTATGGAGTTATGATTAGTGTTTACTTAGGTATTTGTTAGTATACTAATCAAATAACGGAAGGAAAATACATTAGTTAAGGAAAAATTTAACAATTTATAACCGGGTGTCTGTGGTCTGGTGGTAGAGAACTCACGGCTGTAATTCTTCCACCTAAATGCGAGTATCGACCACCGTCGATTAAAATGGGGAAAAAAAGATGACCCTTGAAGCTATCTACCATATGACTCCAAGATTTTATTGTTGTGTTATATATTGGAACACCATTTTACAGGCATAAGATAATCAAATCAGACAATATAGCGTAAGATTTGGTTAGAGTCCCTATTACTGCATTAAAAAACCGAAAGTTTCATTGTTCTAGTGACCTTATAGAGTTTTACGAGCTTGACTCACATTATTACAAAAGCATTGGTAAAAATCAAGTTCACCACACTCTCATATTTAGGCCAGTGTTGTATACCATTGTATCAATGAATTTAATTATATTTTAAATTCTGATTCTATTTTTTTCCACTTACAAATGATTACTTTCTATTTAAAAATTTGGATAAAGGTACAAAAGATAAATATAAATCAACTTGTAACTCTTAAATAATTTTTTAAAAATATTATTCATGAAACATCTAAAAAAGATATAGGGATGTTCAAACAGATAAGATATTACGTCGTTTGTAAACTCATGTCCTCAGTCATGGAAGATTCGCTCAGCTTGTACGCAACAACTAATCTTCAATTTTTCTCAGCTCCAGTTTCTTCATTGTGTAACTTCTCCTCTTGAAGCTTCATTTTTGTTCTCAGTAAAATCCGACCAACGACCCCTTTATGTCACTGAAATAAATGAATTGGAGCAGGAGACACATCTTTTAATATGTAAAATCTGTTATGCTTGAGATTGTCTTCCAATATCTTTCGGAAAATGAAAATGAAAAATGAATGACCTCAGACAAAATGACAATGTAAGCAGTTGGAACATTGATTGATCCAAACTGCAAAAAGAGGGGAATGTACCTTCAGATTGTCACCAAAGAGTTTCAAATCAGTTGTTGTTTTATCATCTCAGATTCAAATGAAGCGTGCAATGAAAAATAAAGACATATTCGAGAGAAATATCATGCAAAGAACTTTATGTAAATTTAAATTCAATTTGTTAATGTAAAAAGCCAAACTAAATGCAAAGTACAACACTGCAAAAAGAAAAATTTACGGAAATTCATGTCTCAAATGGACCAATGTTAATATCCGACTCTGAATCCTGTGTAAGCTGATATCGACTTAAAGTTATAATTGAATGACTCAATGAAAAACTTCCAAATACGACTTGATAATAATTAGCTAGAGCTCACCAGACAAATATATCCTCTTATGAAACACTTCTTATCTATATAAAATGAATGGGCAAAGAAGGGGTACCAAGTTCATCCATGTAATGTCTGACTCATAGTAGTTATTTGAAAGGAAAGCTTCAGTTTTTATGTGCAGTAGCTTCTTCGAACTATGGAAAAACATTATAAAGTAATTCAATACACAACAATACTGAAATACGCAAATCTATATTATAATAGGAGAGTTTGACTCTCTCTAAAAGTGTCCACATCAGCATAAGAAACCATATGACATTTTATCTCTGTGAACTGACAAATTATCCAACTTCATACAAAAGTTCATAAGCTTTGTGAGGAAAGGTTGTCAGCCTCAGAAACTTCTATCACACTAAAAGAAATTAGAGAATATGGAGTTCCTTTCGGCAATCTCCAACTGGAACAACTTTTCCATGTCCTTTTTAAGTGTTCCTGTTTTCCATCACATGGTTATGGTAATAAACTCTGCTACTATACAATCAACCTAACATAAACAAATTAATCACCCATAGTTATTAGTAATATTGCTGTCACTTCATTTTTTCCATCTTGTAAAGTTGTTATATATATACGGATCCGACATGGTTGTCTGACGGCCAGAATAACCCAAAGCTATGCTCTAGCCAAGAACACTGCTGATAGATCTGATGACATAAATATCCAAGAACTGCAACATGATTCACATATTCTTCATCTATTCTTACAACCTACTAATAAACAATTCTAAGTGTTTCAGAAATAGTAAAATAAAGGTGTGAAGTTTACACAACGATAAGAAAATTCAAGTATCAAGTTCAGACTCTAAAATGAAGAATATAATCACATTGTTTCTTCAATCACAAAAGACCAAAACCAAAAAAAAAACTTAAGCAAAACTAAGAATAATCCAGAAACCTAAACAAAGAACAATGTCCACTCTTTCAAAGCCCTAGCTAAGTGAGTAAGCAAATCTTAGAGATCAATTCATACTGTTTGAATGTTTTTTTTTATGATTCTTAATCAAAACCGATGAGACATCCGAATTACCGTTTGTAGATTTTTAAACCAATAAGAATTGAATCACTATATACTTGCGCTTGTCATGAAATTAGTAACTGAAACTCACCGTGAACGTGGACAAAACTTGATGGCTGAACACATTAGTAATCCAAAAGTGGCTCGAACGCCTCACTTTGAAGTCATGGAGGAGGAATGAGGACTTCAAAATTCTGCTCAACGAAAGTGTTCAAGGGTTATTATGATTGGGATGAATCAAAAGGATGAAATTTATGGGATCAAGACTCACCTATTTATACAGTCAGATATACCCTAATGAGATTCATTGAATGAGGTTACTGAGATCGGACCACTGCACAGAGTGTATTTCACCCACAACATCTGCGAGTCAAAAACCTACCTTAGCGATGGAGTAACATGATGAAATTAATATAGCGAAGAAGAAATAAAACAGAACTGTGGAAAAGTGGAGGATAAAATGTAAGATGAAAAGGAGAGCTAACCTTCGATGCATCTATACAAAGAAGCCTGGAGAATGCGTTATAGGAAGATAAATTGTTCATGGGCAGAGAACATGTATGGAGGAGTCGAAGAGATCGAGTTACGTAAATGAAATCATCGGAGTAGGAAGCGGCCATCAGTGGAGAACAATTGTGAAGGTTAAGGAAATCCTATGCAGGGGTAAGAGAAGACATCTTACCGGAATGCCCAACACAAAACAAACGTTTCAAAGCCCGGTAAACTCAAACACACCACGCGAATTATAAAAAAAAAAGAAACAAAGAAGAAGGTGGAGACCACACCTATGCTAACGTGGACATCTTTAGGAGAGAGTAAAACTCTCCTATTATAATATAGATTGTTTTACAAGGACTTCATATTATTATTTTTTTTTAAATGTACAAGACAATCTGACATTTTAAAAAAGAGCAGAAATTAAATCTATATACCGCGAGCCAGTTTAACAAAACTCAAAACCAAATGAAAACTTTAATTACAGTAGCTCGAAAGAAAAAATTAGTACGGTCACTCCCGAAAGAACTGCCAGAACCCTCCTTCGAAGAGGCACCATGTCGACTGCAGTTTCCCACGCCGGAGAACCGTGGGAAACACTAAACGGAGAGAGGAGAAATTTCCACCGGTAAGGGCTCGAGAGAGACACAGAGGATATAGAACTATTTCCTAGCTTGACAGAGGAGATCGTCAGAGAAGTAACCTGAAAAGAAATAAGAAAGCAAAAAACGTTTAAGAAACTTGGGATCAGGACGACTTGTCGATTCAGAACAAGCGCGCGGACTGGTCTAGACCACACCCCGACACCCACTCGCCTCCATAAAACCTCGACTTGAGCGTAGACCACCCGTCTCCAAGGAGGACTTTTTAGCCCTTTAAAGAGTCATCGGAGGACCAGATCTAAAGAATATAAAACAATTGTGCGTCAATCCACCGCTCCAGAAAAACCTGAACCAACATGTCACTTCAAAGGAACTACTCCAACTCTGTGGATCTAGAAGTGAGAACTGAGGAGATCATGGGGGTCCATGCTCCAGATATAATCCAACAGATCTGACTCGTGAAGCTAGAGCCTCAGCTGAACCGCTGTGAAAAACTATCACCACCGGAAATCCCGACTCTCAAAAACACCGCTGAGGAAATCGATGGCCCATG